ACATTTTGCTTGTATTCTCCCCCATAAAACTTATGAAAACCGAAAAGAGAGGGGTATGAAGCTCACCTTGTGTTGTGGGTTCGGTTTTTAAAGAGAGAAATGAAGAAGATTTGATCCTAGCAAGTCTTCTTGGAGAATCTCGAACTTAGATGTTTCTAAGAGGGTGATCATGAGTTTGAATAGATTAGGAAGATATTTTTGATAAAACAAAGAATCTAGATCATAGATCCAAGCATGAACTTACCTTAGATGATGAATTTGTGGAATAATCTCCTTGAAGAGCTTCCTAAATCTCGAAAATTTGATGAAGGATGAAGAGAGTTTCTTTGAGAGTGTTTGAGTGAAATGTGTGTGTGTGTGTGTGTGTGTGTTTTTGTTGGTTTCGACCGAGAGAAAAAGAGAAAGGAGAAGAGAGAGTGGTGATGAGATGGTTGCTTAGAAACATGAGTTGCATGCATGGAGACCCAAAAAATAATGGTGAGGTGACAATGGAAAGTCAACCCTTTCTCTTTTGGTGTAGTTGGGTCGAGAAAAGGAGAGGTGAAAGAAAGAGTATTGGGATTTTTGTGTTTAAGCCCATATTATGATTCAATTAAGTAAATTTTCGGCCCAAATAATTCAAGGAATGATTTTTATGACCCATTAGGGCTATATAAATTTGTTGTGGCCCAATAAGGCCCACTAAAGTTAACCTAGTTCATTTTAGGCTTGTCAGGCCCAAAATATTAAGTTTCATGTATATGGGTCCAATTAGGGCCCATTTGAGAGTTCTATGTCCAAGATAGTTAAACTGAAATCTTATTGGTCCATTAGGCCCATTAAGGAAATCCTAATCCAAAATGGACTTAAACCGGGATTTCTAGGGCTTCCAATTCTTTGTTGACTATTTGATGTGCTTGCATGAAGTGTGTGATGGAAGTTTTGCTTTTATTGAATAAGCATCATAGATGCTTCCCATTGTTGGTTCACATTTGTTATCATTGTTCAATGTTTACAAGGCATCAAAATTCCTAGTTGTGACAGGTTTGATCGAGCATTGGAGCTAAACGAAGCTTAGAACTTATGAAGGGTGACGAGGAACGCTTAGAAGATGTCTTGGTCAAGAAAGAAATGGGCGATCCAAGAGAAAAACCACAAATTCGATTAGATTTATCCTACGAGATAGATTGCTACATTTTTAAGCCTAAAGGATGTTGGTGGCAGCTTGACCCCTTGTCAGTATTTTGATCATATCTAATGACTCGTAACTCCGATTGACAAGATTCAAGATGTTTCGGAAACTAAACAAAATTTTAGACAACTTTCGTGTTTGTGAAAAAGTATAAAAACAAAAAGAATTCGATCGAATTTTCCTCAAAAATTTGATCGTGTGAATAGTTCACAATTCAGAATTCGTCAGAAATCAGTTTTTAGCCAAATTCGATCAAAACTCAAAAATTTGATTGTGCTTCTCAAAAATTCAATCGAATTTATATTTTCTTGCTCTCTAAGTAACTATCTTGGATATATATTCGACCTATCTTATCAGTTAGAAGCAGAGACAATCAAAGACATTCCCAGACGACGAAAACGACTTCTAAAGGCAATTTTTTGCATCTTTCATCACTTTTTGAATATCTGAAGGCTGTAGATCATCTCCTAAATTTAGTGTAGTAAGATTAGTCATTTAGTTTGTCTTTTCAATAGTTTTAATTCAATTTTAGCCATATCTGGCTAAAACCCTAATTTTAAGTTCTGCAAAAGATTAGTACTTTTCATGTGATCAGTCATCAGATTTGGTTGATTGTATGATTCTATTTTGTAATTTCAGTTTTGTGCTTAATGAATGTTTGATTTTGATTCTTGTTAGTTTTGATTACCTTTCTAGGGTTTAATCATTCACATTAACCAGTTGTTGAAATTCGTAATTGTTTTGACAACCTAGTAATAAGTAACAAGTAGTAAATTGGTTATGTGTTTAGATTGGACTTTATTATAAACTGAAATTTCATATCTTTACACTTCCAAGCTTGTAAGAAGTATTGAATATAGTTGGAATTTTACACAAATCTTAATGCAACTTTTCTGAATTTAATTAAAAAAGCTTGTTTAATTAGACCAATAAAAAGTTATGGTTAACTGAAGAGTTTGTTTTGATTAATTTAACTAGGTAAAAGAGATTATACAAGAGCTTGTTAGTTTTTTTCTCAGTACCAGCTTGAATAGAGCACACTTTGAATAACCGAGTCTAGATTGATTGCATGATTAGGAAAGTCATAGCAAAATTTAATTCGTTTTTGTTACTGAATTTCATTTAGTTATTTTCACTGCTATTTTAGTTTTAGTTAATATTAAAAGATTCCTCCTATTTATTAATTTCTGTTAAATGACTAGTTTGTGCCTTATGCAAGAGATATTGACCATTAGGTTGTGTCCCTGAAGATTCGACCCTGCTTCCTTGTGTTATCCTTTAGTTCATTCGAGCAGTGAAATTTTATTTGCTTAAATCGTGGGCGACAACGGTTTTAACAATATACCATATGGAAGATCGTGAGTGGTTGGCCGCCATTACCTCTTTGGTTATTTCATACCAAATATCTAAGACTCCCCCCCCCCCCCCCCCCTTTTGCGAATTTGCACACTGATAATTCCAAAATTATTTGTTCTTCCAATTTTCGAATATACACTTTGCATTTATTGGTTCTACCATCGTTGTTTAAAAGAACAATAATTTGCATTAAATTATGGAGTTTTACACTATAGCTTAAAGCAATCAAGCGACATAAAAACATTTAAGGGTGTGATTAATTTTGTGTAGTTTTCCATAATCAATAATCCATAATTTTTAGGTTGGTTTTACTTTTTTATTTCGTCTTTTAATTCATACGCTAGCGTGGCAATCTTATTTCTATATGAAACTTGGTGATTAAATATGATTTTCACGATATGATTAGTTAGATATGACCAAATCAATCCGATTTATATATGAAACTTGTTAATTAAATAATAACTAGGGTTTGGACCGTCCGTGCGTTGCTGCGGAAGCTCCGGTATATTAAAAAACGCAGTTTGACACCATATGTATCATAGAGACGATTAAATCATATGAAATGGAGCACAAAAAGATCAAAATAAAATATAGATACAAACAATTAACTTAAAAGTGCATCTTTAATAAATTAATAAAAAATGGATTATTAAAAAATTATATAAAGGGACAAAATGTAACTTTAAAATATAATAAGGGACCAAATTGTAATGTATAAAATACTAGTAATTTAACTTTAAAATTATATGGATTGAAAATTGTTAAATAAAAGTTAATTAAGAACAGAGAATGTAAATATATATAAAATTTAAAATTATAAGGATAGAAATTGTTACATCAAAATTAATTTAAAACAAATAAAAGTAAAGGAAGAAAAATGAAAAAGAAATTGAAAGTGCGAAGGCTTACTCTATTTTTGCTTATAGTAAATCTTCTCATAACCATATTCTGGAAATTAATATATATATATATATATATATATATATATATATATATATATATATATATATATATATATATATATATATATATATATATATATATAATTTAAAATTATAAGGATAGAAATTGTTACATCAAAATTAGTTTAGGGTACAAAATATAAAAACAAATAAAAGTAAAGGAAGGAATATAAAAAAGAAATTGAAAATACGAAGACTTAGGTGGTGTTTGTTTCTTGTCCGCAGATCTTCCTGACCTCTTTTGTCTGCGCGGTGCAGACCACGCGCAGACATTAGCATTCGCAAATTGTTTGTTTTTTACAGACTGCAGACCTAAAAATGTATGCGCGCCCTCTTCTTGACGCAGATATGGACCAGAGTCTTCTAACATATTCAGTCATCTTCTAGCCTAAAAAAACTTATATTTTACTTTTTTTTAGTTTTTTTGAATTTATATTTATTCCAATTTTATTAATGATAAACAATTTAAATAAAAAAGATTACACTATTTAAAAAAAAGTTCGACGACAAAAACATGATATTTTTGACAAATTTATAAATTAAAGTTTATTATAATAATGGTCGTTGAAATTGTTTATATAAATATGAAAAAGTAATATATTCTCATAATTTTTTGCCAATTTTTATAAAATATTATTTAATAAAGCATCCTCAATTTCTTAGAAAAAATAATTATTGCACGTTTTTAATTGATTCAATTAAAAAAATCGAAGTTTATTTCCATTTATATATATATATATATATATATATATATATATATATATATATATATATATATATATATATATATATATATATATATATATATATATATATATATATATATATCAAATTTTTTGATTCCTAATTACAATGTTTAGCCATAACTTTGCGATCAAAATTGTTGGTTTTTATCAAATATATACGTTAATTTATACCAATTTTATTTTCACTTTTCATACAATAAAAATAAAAATTGATTTAGATTTGTTAATTATTTATAACAAAGTCATAAATATATTTAAAAAATCGCTTTGTAGTTTAAAAAATTAGTTTATTTTGATTTTAGTTTATTTTAGTAGGTTGCAGATGTTAAAAAACAAAACAGTTTTTTTTTTCACACTCCAAACGTTTGATCCACCTCTTTTGCTACAGAAGTCTACAGATGTAACCCGCAGACTGCAAACATTTTACCTCAGAAAAAACAAACAACACCTTACTCTATTTTTGCTTACATCAAATGAATAGTAAATCTTCTCACAAACCATATTTTAGAAATTAATATATATATATATATATATATATATATATATATATATATATATATATATATATATATATATATATATATATATATATATAATAATCTAACTTATCATTTTGACTATTTGATATTTAATTCTCAATATTATTTTCCATATTATTTGCTTTAGATATTACTAACGTTACGTTTTCAGTTCACAAAATTAATCACCATATTGTTCTTTTGTCAAGTTTAAAATACGACAGTTTGTCTTTAAACAAAAATCCAAGTGAGAACCATAAGATAAACATAGTTAGCCGAGCGACTGAGGACTTTTCATAAAAGCATCTTGTAAATAAGACGTAAACACATGAAAAACTTTAACTTTCTTCTCACTTTATTAAGATTCAACTTATTGCACAATACATAATTATACAAAAAAAATGAAGATGAAAAGAAATTACAAGCTAGTACACGTGATATAAAAAAAAAAATATGGTCCTATAAGAAATTTAGACAATTACAAATTTTGCTACCGAAATCCAATGTGGATTTGCATTTGCATAACAAAGTAATCTCAAACCTCGTATTTGCATAGGTTCTCGAATCCCATGTATTCATGTCGTTCAATTTTATCAATCATGTTTGAAATTCCAACTCCACCTGTTACACAAAATACACGATGTTATTAGAGAAAAGATGCTTAAAATTTAAAAAACATATATATGACAATTTCAACCTAGTTATCTAAAGTTGATTGGTATAGGTTAGATACAACTACCAGACAAAATGTGTAACATTTAAAATATGGCTAAAAGTGACACACATGACACGTGGTTCAAACAGGTCAGAAAGTTGAAGGAGTGTATTACAACTTAAAAAAAAAAAAAAAAAAAAAAAAATAGAATATTATACCTAATGAGATTGCACTAACGAATATGGTGAATGCGAGGATGAATATAATTAAAGACGCCCTTCCCAATATAATAATTATTCTTCTCACGACATGTTGTCCAACAAAAGCAGCGATTGTTGCAACCACAAGGAAGTACAAAGCTGTGAAAAAACTTCAAAAATTAGCAAACGTATTTTTATTTTTTTTACTGATAATAAAAAAATAAAATATGGATTTACCATAAGGAACTGGGAAACGCTTAAGAAGATAATATTCCACAACAGACATTGAAGAAGAAAACATCATGGCAAAAGTAGCTGTAGCACTTGAAACCTACTCAAATCATCAACAACCTTCAGAAGATTAATACTAACTCTATTAAAAAATTTCATTTCAGAAGAAAATAAAGGATACCTGGGGGGGTATTCCGAGCTCCAAGAAGAGTGGGCCCATGATAAATCCGCCACCTAGACCAAGTAGGCCCCCAACCATGCCAGCTAGGACGCCACACGAGCAATACAAGATTAATTGGCCAACTGTAAGGTTGGTGTCGGAATCTCCCTTTGATGATATCTTTCTAGAACCTTTGTATAAGCTTATAGCCTCATACCCTGATACCCCAAAAGAAACTGGAATCTAAAAAGTAATGATAAAAATAGTTAAGTGGGTAAATCAATAAGATGTGACACTAGAAAGTATGTTGTTTTTTTTTTTTTTGATCAGATACCTGTAACAAGTTCAGCACCCAATACAATATGGAACAAGTGGTTGTATAAGTCTGTTTCATCAACATACACAAATTGTAAGTTAAAATATATTTTTTTATTGAGGAAAATAAAATAATAAAATATAAGTGATTAATGATAAAGAACCTTAGCAATCTGTAACGCAAGAAATGCGACCCAAACAACGCAAAGAAGCCCAAATTCCTTCCAGCAAACATTCTCCCAAACAGTGACCTAAGAAGTTCAAAGGTAATATAAAGTGTCCAATTTTAGCTCTTTTTACATTTTTTTTTTTGAGAGGTAAATCTTATTTTTACCTCTTCTTTTAATGCTTCTTCGGCTTTTGTTTCATTGCTGGGCCCACCAGGGAGAAACTTGTAATCTACTGCATCGGCTCCTAACATGGTAATTAACTAATTATACGTATGTTTATTAAGAAAAGATGAAAGCATTTATAATCAAATTTAATTATAATATTGAAAGAGTGTTGAATCAACACACCAGTTGGCTCTAAGCGCTTAGCAGCCTCCTGAAATTGTAAAAAAAAAACGTTCACAACATAATTCATTTATTATTTATTTCCATTTCCTAACAGTATTTTTTAAACATCATTACCTTTTTCATAATGGTTTCCTTGTTCCATGTATCAACGCCTCTGCAAAAGGCCTTTGTTGATGTGCCTACGGGTTTTTTAAGTATATATACACACATGATGTGTTATTTGATGAATAACCATATACGTAAAAATAAAATTATGCTAAATAAAAATAATACCTATAAATAGAATAATTAATAGGACTGTAACCATCCAATCAGCAAAAATAACATTGAAGGAAACTCCAATACTAATTCCAAGCATTAACATTGGTTGGATAAGAAGTGCCAGGTCATAGTCAATAATCGGCATATCAAGTGTTGGGTGTCTTAATTTAAGATTATAGTAAACAGTCGAGGCGGCCGCTCCCATTATCATACCTGGAAAACAAAATTCAAAAATTATTCCTCAGTACCAGTAACAGTGACAGTGACAGACTGATAGTGACACTGACACGTTGACATATCGTGTGTGTGTGTATAAATAGAATAATTAACGCTGCTGCAAAATAGTCTTTTTAGGTAAACAGTAGGGACTTTCCGAGTTAAATAAATAAGTTAAGGATCAAACGTGTAAATTATCCTAAACCATAGGGACCATTTGTGTAATTTACTCTAAATTTTTTGTTTCTTACATTTGGAAATGGCAGTTGCGGATTTAGGATCAAATCCAATAATGAGAGTAAGCATAGGCACGAATATACCACCACCACCAACACCACCTACACTCCCAAAAGCTGCACCACAAAAACCGATGAAGCTACCAACCACAATTTTCCACCCAAATTCCATTTCCTGTGAAAAAAAAAAATTTGGATAGAAATTCTTCATGCTTGGTTCTTATTTTAGGTAACATGACACAACAATTTTTCTCCATACACAACATTGCTTTAAAATGTTGTACTGTTCAGCTCTATAATGCATAAATTGTTTTGACTGTAAAAAACTGTTGTGTACGAATCGTTTCCTCTAATATAATATCTATGTTTATTTACTATGCGAAAATGTTAAGTAACTTTAAAAGTGATTTTGAGTTTGGAATTATTAGATAAAATAAAGGGATGAAAAGTTTTTTAACTTGTTATATATCGAAATGAATGACTTGTCTGAAAAGTCAAATGTGCATCATTATCACGTGTTTTGTCATTTGGTTTTGTTTTTATGTGTGAGGGGGGGCCCTTTTTCTATAGCTAACATGAAGTTCTGGACAAGTTATAGTGGAGTAGTTCGTAATCTATGCTGCATCAGTTGATTATAAATATGATATGTATATTTTATTCGTATATAATTTTGGATAATATTTATTTTTTAAAGTTACTACTAATCTAGTATATGTGTTGTGTAGTTTTAATCTCAGTTTAATTATAAGTTTAGTATTTTTCAAAATTTAAAGTTAAGTATGAAAAAATTATTAATATAATATAATAAATATGTTAAAAGACTATTGCTTTGTATTTTGTAATGAGACTAAATGAATATTCAAGTTTGTAAAAATGTATGAATCTCAGATTCAGAGTTTTTAAAGGATAATAAATCAACAGCTATCAGTCATGCCTCACCTAAATACATTTTTTATACCTAAAGAATTATAAAATGGGCCCTTCCTTTTATTTAATGAAAGACAAGTAATACCTTTCTATCCTTTGTTAAACAAAAAAAAAAAAAAAAAACTAAATATTGAGATGAAGTAGATAAAGCAAGCTGTATTGTGTACAAGTTGTTTTCAAAATGATGAACTTTGAACAAATCTCTTACTAAAAAGTAATTGAAATTAAGAAAGAAGATGTTCCTAAATTGCATTTAGAAAAGGATTTGGTAATTTAGGGAAGAGTAAAATGGTAGGTAAAGTGCAACAAATGTAAAGTAAAATCTGAAACGTACTTCGAATCTGCAATCTGTATCTGTATATTCAGTAAAGTATGCATCCAGAAAACTTTATAACAGTGAAAGAAACTCCATGGAAGATGGGAAATAGACAAGAAGATACTTACAGGCCAAACATGCTGATAACCAGATCCATCTGTTTGAAACAAATAATTTGCCAATTTCACAAAATAACCATAACTCAAATCACCATCAACATCCGCCGTCGCTGCTGCAACCAAATCTTCTTTCATCCCGCTTCTATCGGCCGAAGCGAGCATCGAAGCTGTCACGACGCTAATTACAGTCACCGTTATGGATCTCATGATCCTCCGTTTTCTCAATCCAATTTCCGCCATCTGATTCAGTAATTAAGAAACCCTAAGAGATATCGGAATTCAGAGCTCAGACACACAAAACACTTATTTCCGGCTGTAAGGGACAGAAAATCGAAACAATATGACACTCTCGTTCTTCTCTGTCACTCCAATTGAGAGTACCCAACTGAACAGAACAAAGAAAATCAAAAACCAACCATTAAATCATATCAACATCCCAAAGATTATTGCGTGTATATATAATATATATCTGTGTTTGCGTGTGTGTGAGAGAGAGAAACAGAGATTTGGTAATAATTTATAAACGAATCATAAAATGTTGTAGATAGTAGACTAGAGACGGTTACAAGAGGCAAAATGCAGGGGGTGAAGTGCAAATAGAGTATGTAGGAGGACAGAGTATTACATTATGATATTAATTAAGGGGCAAAGTAAAACAATTTCAAGATTCCATAAATGCGTAGGGTACACGAATCTACAGAGCATGTCCCTTGCATTTATGAGTCTTACATGACAGCATGGTATTGGTCAGTATGGAATATGGGACGATGGATGCAACACAATCTATTTCCTTATTAATCAACAATTTTTAACTTTTTATCGGCTGAAGATTTAACTTAGGGTAACTTACATAAATGTCCCTATAGTTTCGAGAGTAAATTACACGAATGGTCCCTATGGTTTAGGGTAATTTGTGCATTTGGTCTCTAATTTATATTTTTAATTCGGAAGGTCCTTATTGTTTGTTTTTGTTACACGCTTGGTCCCTATCATACATAAAAAGACTATTTTACCCTTGATTTTTTAATCTATTTAAATAAACACACCCCCAACCCCACCCCTATCACCTTACCTTACATGCTCCATCATTTTTTTCTATTTAAATAATAGTCGTTTTGGGTAAGATGAGGACCAAGCGTGTAACAAAAACAAACATTAGGGACCAAGCGCGTAACAAAAACAAATAGTAGGGACCTTCTGAGTTAAAAAAATAAGTTAGGGACCAAACGTACAAATTACCCCAAACCATAGGAACCATTCGTGTAATTTACTCTAGTTCCGAATAATCTGATTTATTTATTTTTTATGGGTGTTCTTGAATGTATACTGTAATTTATATAATTCCCTAATATATCTCCTTTTATTTATTTTTTATTTATTTTTTGTTATTTTATTGTTTTTAAAATATTTTTATTTGATATATTTTGTCTTTTTGTTGTTTTGTCTTTTGTCTTATTATTATTATTATTATTATTATTATTATTATTATTATTATTATTATTACAATAAGAGTAATTATTATTATTATTATTATTATTATTATTATTTTAAAAATTGATTTGATTCAATGTCTCTTTAATAGTCTGAACGAAAAAAAATAATATATAAATAATTCAAAGGGAAATAATATAGAAATAGTCGGAATGGGAAAACAACACTGGGATAGTCAGAACTAAAAAGAGTAACTCAGTAATAGTCTAAATGAAATTAAAAATAACATAAAAATAATCCGAATGAAAAAACAATATATTTTTAATATTAATGATGACGACGATAATAATAATAATAATAATATATTTATGAAATATAATGAAAACAAAAAAATTACAAAAATAAACAAAAAAACACAACGATAATCCAAACACAAGGAGGGACTCGACGAGTCGCGTGGGTGACTCGGCGAGTTGGGATGCATTTTTTTCCCCAAACGTCTTCAGGAAACGGTTTTTGGTTGAGTGGAAGGAACACTCAGCCTGCTAGGGGTTTGTTATGCACCTGGAAATCATAGGACTCGGCGAGTGGGTGAACAGACTCGGCGAGTTCAAGGTAATGTCCCAACCACATGAAGACAGACTCAACAAGTTCAAGGATGAACTCGGCGAGTCATAGACCGAACATCTTCATATGGATGAAGATGAACTCGACGAGTTCAAGGACGAACTCAACGAGTCGTTTAAAGATAGTCAGATGTGTTGTTGAAGGTGAACTCGTCAAACTCTTTCTAGACTAGACGAGTAAGGACGGGATTATGGCAGTAGGTGGACATGGGGACTCGACGAGTTGGTGGACCAACTCGGCGAGTTGAGTCAACTAGATGTTGACTTTGACTAGGGTTTGACCTTGACTTTGAATTGGACTTGAGTTGACCCTTGTAAGGGTTACGAGTATGAATTGATAAGTTAGAAAAGTTTTTGTATAGGGATTGAGGATTCGAGGAGAGTTGGTTTTCATACCTAGATCAGTGCAGACACGACACGACTTTGAGGTGAGTTTTCTCCTAGTAGGAGTAGGTCTACGGCCACAATGCCGACCCACAAGTAAGAGTGTTGGATAGATGATTGTCTTTGTGATAATTATCTAGTGTTGATATGAGATATGATTATTGTGTGACATCCCCATTTCCGCCTGAAAAGACCGATTTGTTTATGCTTTGTTTTATAAAATCAGAGTAATTGTTTACAAAAAACAGTTGCGGAATTTGTTCCCAAAACAAAATGTGATAAGAATTTATCAAAGCATTTCTTTAGAGAAATGTATTTTCATTAAATAACAAAATCTTGGGATGTCATGTTCTGGTACAGACCAAAAGCATAAACAGTATAAAATAGACCTTACAACAATTATTTATAACTACTCATCTATAATCCAAAATCTCTCGTCAAGTCCACTAACTTATACTGTCACACCCCAAAACCGATAACGGCGGAATACGTTTCGGGGTGGATGATGTAGTGTACAGTATCATCACAATTGTATAATAGTAAAAGCAAGAAACATACAACCATTTAATTTACATAGTAAGTGTATTTACAAGTGTGTTTTGTAATGTTTGACAAACACCAAAAGTAAACAAAAATAAGAGATGGGTCTTGCATACTCCATCTTCTCCAAAAATGTTGCAGCTGTACCTGTCTATCTTTGACCTGAAGATACAAGTTATTTTGAAAAGAATATCAGCATAAAGCTGGTGAGTTCATAAGAGTTTAGTGTGAGTACTTGTATAAAAAGCATTAGAATCATTAGTATGAAAACTGAATTTTGTAATCATAAGTAGTGGTAAAACCTAGAAAATCCTGTATTTCCCAGAACTGTATAGTAAATGAAAATCTTTAAGAAATATATTGTTTCTATCTTTGAAAGCCATTTATCATAGAAGTGTAATAGTGACTCACCATTAAGTAAGGTAATATAGTGAGTTATTCTTGGAGTACATAATAGTGGTGCAGCATCCTTTAGTATTAGATACTTATTTACTTCGGGATATTACTTCATCTTTCTTTTAGTATTTTAGTGCGGTTATAGTGTCTTTCTTGTATGTTACCAATAGTGTGAGTAATAGCGGACCCTCATGACCTTCCCAGTCATGCATAGTGTGGTAGAGTAAAGGCATCCCTGGGCCTGAGCGGCTCGGACTGAAGTTATCAGTCGGGATGTAATAGCGTCTGCCCCGTATAGATCTATACATATAGTGTCGTCTTCCTATCGGAAAACTTCGGGCGTAGTGTGTAGTGTATAGAGTATCTCGTAGTGGATTAATGAATTATCTCATGATTAGTACATTCTCTTGTATTATAGTGTGGTAGTCTTTTGTATAACTTGTATTGTATTCTCTTATTAGTGTATTGCTTCATAATAGAGAGAATTATAGTAGTGTAGAGTAGTAGTTGAAACAAGGGATAGAGTCCTTAACTATACCTATTATAGTTAAATTAGTGTGTGTGGTTCTAATCAGGTTAGTGATTTAAGCATCTAATGAAATAAGAAGTACTCGTAATCCGTACTAATATACGAGATATATAACTAAGAAATCAATGACAGTCGGACGGATAACCACTACCCTAAGCCCACAATCAAACAAGAAACAGGAAATAAGGCGAGCTATCGGTCCTAAGTCCTTCAAGTCTTACTTATATAAATAAATTAGTATGGTTACATTCTTATGAGGAGTTTTATTAAACAAAAGTGTTGTACGAAAGAAACATTTAAAACTTGTTTGTTTATCCAAGATAGTTTTGAAAACAATTGATTTATTTATAAAGCATAGTGATAAATCACATGTGATTTGAACTACAGGTTGTGAATCACATGTGATTAATTCTGTAATCTGAAAAATAGTCTTGTATAACTTTTCATAAACATGTATATTCAACTTGTATCTCCCCCCTAAAACATATAAAACATTTGAAAGGTTCATTTAAGGGGTATGAACTCACCTGAAATCGCGGAAATCGGGTGAATCGGGTAAATCGGGTAAAAGTGCCGATTGAGCGTTTGGTACCAAATAACCACTTGAGCACCTCCTAGGACCCTAATGTCATATGAAATATGTATTTTACAAGAAGTTAATCATCTTATGCTTTTCATTATAGTATTTGGACATTCTAGCATCGTTTTCGGGGTTTTAAGGCCTAGAAAAGGGTTCCCGGGAGTGGTACAAGGTCATGAATGATTTACGGGAGGGTCCATGAGCTCACTCCCTTGGAGTTTATGGCCCAAAGGCCATCCCTTGGGAGTTTACAGCCGTAAGCCCCCTAGGCTTGGCCGTAAACTCTTGTGACACTCCAAAATGTATGATTAGGGCCTTATTTCACTTCCTTAATTTAATGGTATGTGTCTTGGACTAATAGGGAGGGATTAAACATCATAATTTGTGACATTTTTGAGGAGTTTACGGCCAAGACTTGTTCTTGGGCCATAAACTCAAATAAATCCTTCAAGATGTATGTTTTAATGGTACAACATGGTCTCATACACCTTAGATAAATCCTAGAAGGCCCTATAGTGAGTTTTGGGACAATTTGGCATGCACTTTTGGGGAGTTTACAGCCCAAGAACATCCTTGGCTGTAAACTCTTCATTTTGTATCCAAATGTGAAGTTAAATGGTACAACACACTTCCAAAGGCCTTAGCTAAATTCCTTACAAGCACTAGAGTAGTTTAGGGACTTGTTTGACACCAATTTTTGGGTGTTTACGGCCCAAGCTTAAGCTAGGCCGTAAACTCCACAATTTGTCCTCAAATGGAGTTGTTTGATGCATTTAAGTGTTCCTTGGAGGTAAGTCCAATTTACCAAACATCTTAGAAGAGTTTTTGGGGCTTTAAACATAGATTTATGGGGGTGTTTGAGGTGTTTACGGCCTAAGCACAAGCTTGGGCCGTAAACTCCTTTTTACATGTCAAATCCTTGTGTTTTAGTGT